TAAACAGTTTGTGAATTTCTAACTGAAATAACTCCACAAAGGCTGGCATTCTGTCGCCACGTCACCCTTTATTTACATGTGCATAGTACCAGACACTGACTCAGCTAATTCAGTGCCAGCTCCTAGAATGAACAGAACCCCCAACACTTCTGTTAATATCTGTCAACCAGGACTCTCTGATTGGGGCTGTTAACCTGATCCAATCAAGGAACTCATTCTATGACATCTGCCTGGCTAAGCCTCATTCCAATCACTGCATTAACTATTCCATAATGGATCATTAAAAAGCCCTTTATTGGATGTGGAGAGTAAGAAATGGGAAGAAGTTATAAACGTTAATCAAGCTTTTGGTTAGAACAGTGGAGTCACAAAGACATTCTGGACAAGCAAAACAGCTAACAAATCATTGCCATCAATAAATAAAGGAAGGGCGGACTAGACATTAATCCTGTTGAAGATGATGTGAGCATGTAACTGGAACTGTTCACTTAGCTAGGTGAGAGCTCTTGAAGGTGTTTAACAATGAGAATTAGATCTTGAAGTTGGTAAAGTTGGAAACAGACCTCGTGAATCATGATATGCACAGTGTTTTTGAGGCTGAGAGATTTTTTTGTGGCAAGGAGAGTTCAGGTGTGATGTGGCAAGTATGGTGACTGTCTTGACAACATGGACAGCAATGAATAGTATAATTGTATAAAACATTTTAGAAAGAGTAATTCATTTGAGCAGTGTTATGTTGCCAGATAGAAATGCATTTCCACACTAGATTAGGATCTTCTTACTGTAGTGAATTTCTAATTTAAGCAATTTGGCTAATTTAACTGGTATGCAAAATAACAGATATAAGTTCGCTTTGTGAAGTGGGTATTTCATTATTACAGTTATTCAGCTTTATTAGTAATTGACTATTTTTATTGAAGTGGCCTGGTTTATTGTACCTTAAAGGACATGCATCCCGACAACAATCTGTACAACTTTATTATCATTTGATGAACATTGCTCACAACGTGCTTTACTTGTGGAAGGGAAAAAAGAAGCAAGAATAACGGAACTGATGCTTAACCTTAGTGCTCAAATAGGTATCAACAAAAGGTTGGTTGTAGATGAGAATTGTTTCTGTAAAAAAAAAATCTGTACAGCAAAGTGGAGCAGCACTAGCATTTTGGGAGTAAATTTTATTGGGTAGAACCAAGGCAGTTAAAGGCACAACTGGTGGACTGAAGGAAGGAAGAAGCACAGAAAACCAGAGAACGATGACTCATAGTATTATGTAATGATACAAGGCCTGAAGGAGGTCGCAGACTGCCAAAAGGTCATGGAAGAAGTTGTAGATAAAAACTTTAAAGGCAGTTATATAAATAGCACACATTGGAAATACACAAAAGTAAACTTTCAGCAACAGAAGAATACAAGCTTATCCAAAAAAAATTTTGCTCAGAGGAACTTATGCATTTACGTCACTACTTGTGGGGATTGCAGCAGACCTTTTTCTCTTTACTTTTTCATAGGAATGTGGGCATCACTATCAAGGCCTGCATTTGATCCCCAGCCTAATTGCCCTTTATCTGAGTGGCTATTTCAGAAAGTAATTAAGAGTTAGCCACATACCATGTTCCCTGAAGGATGTCGGTGAGCCAGATGGGATTTTACCAAAATTGACTATGGTTTCATAGTCACCATGACCAAGCCTGAATTTTAATTGCAGATTTTATTAATCAGATTGAAATTTGACTACTTGCCAAAGTGGAATTTGAATCCATGGCCCAAAGCATTAGCTTGGATCTCTGGCTTTATCCTGTGACATTATCCCTAAACAACTGAGCAGTCAGTGATGAAGTTTGCAGGTAAGACCTGAGATCTTCACTTGACATGAATAAGAGATGAACATGACGTGAGGAGAGATGGAGTGTCAATGTTTTGGATTTTTGAACTGGTGAACTGCAACAGTAAAAATAAATACGAGTTGTAACTGAAATGCAGTTTTCTGTGGAATCACCGTTCCACAATTCAGTTTCTTATTGTTAGAAATCTGTTGAGACACTTCTGGACTTCATTGTTATGGTACCATTTTGGTTTTCAAGAATGTTAGTATGTACAATATTATGACAGAGGATGGTGGGATGGCACTGTCTCCAGACCTAAAACTCCATGGTTTTCATTACAAACTTAAATGTTTTACCCAGTTATTGATGTGTTCAATTATATAGTTTTACAATATTACGGTTCTTGCAAAAATTTGTAGCTCAGATTGTGGATGAGGTTGTTGACTTGCTCGCTGAGCTGGCTGGTTATAGTTCAGATGTTTCGTCACCATGCTAGGTAACATCATCAGTGCAGCCTCCGATGAAGCGATGTTATTCTACTCTATTTATATGATCCGGTCTGTTGACGTGTTTTGTGTCAGTTCCAGTTATTTTTTGCAAGGGTTTGTATATGGGGTCTAATTCCACATGTTTATTGATTGCATTATGGGTGGAGGACCAGGCCTCTAGGAATTCCCGTGTGTGTTCTTGGTTGGCTTGAGTTAGGATGCTCATATCGTCCCAGTTCAGTTTATGTATTTGGAAAGGCCAGGACTGATTAAGCGTAGTCAACGTGCCTTAGTGCATGGGCAATCATGTCTCATGAACTTGATTGAGTTACTTGAAGAAGTAACAAAGAGAATTGATGAGGACAGAGCGGTGGGCATGATCTATATGCACTTCAGTAAGACATTCGACAAGGTTCCCCATGGTAGACTGGTAAGCATGGTTAGATCACACAGAATAGAGGGAGAACTAGCTATTTGGATACATAACTGGCTCAAAGGTAGAAGACAGAAGGTGGTGGTCGAGGGTTGCTTTTTAGACTGGAGGGCTGTGACCAGAAGTGTGCCGTGAGGATCAGTGTTGGGTCCACTGCTTTTCGTCATTTATATAAATGACTTGGATGTGAACATAGGAGGTATGGTTAGTAATTTGCAGATGACACCAAAATTGGAGGTGCAGTGGACAGTGAAGAAAGTTACCTTGGAGTGCAATGGAATCGTGATCAGATGGGCCAATGGGCCAAGGAGTGGCAGTTGGAGTTTAATTTAGATAAATGTGAGGTGCTGTATTTTGGAAAGGCAAATCAGGGCAGGACTTATACACTTACTGGTAAGGTCCTGGGGAGAGTTGCTGAACAAAGAGACCTTGGAGTGCAGGTTCATAGTTCCTTGAAATTGGAGTCGCAGGTAGATAGGATAGTGAAGAAGGTGTTTGGTATGCTTGCCGTTATTGGTCAGTGCATTGAGTATAGGAGTTGGAAGGTCATGTTGCAGCTGTACAGGGCATTGATTAGGCCACTATTAGAACACTGCATGCAATTCTGGCCATAGGAAGGATGTTGTGAAACTTGAAAGGGTTCAGAAAAGATTTATGAGGATGTTGCCAGAGTTGGAGGGTTTGATCTATGGAGAGAGGCTGAATAGACTGGAACTATATTCCCTGGAGCGTCGGAGGCTGAGGTGTGACCATATAGAGGTTTATAAAATCATGAGGGGCATGGATAGGGTGAATAGACAAGGTCTTTTCCCTGGGGTAGAGGAGTCCAAAACTTGGTTTAAAGTGAGTGGGGGAAAGATTTAAAAAGGACCTAAGGGGCAACATTTTCACACAGGGTAGTGCGTGTATGGAATGGGCTACTAGACGAAGTGGTAGAGGTTGGTACAATTACACCATTTAAAAGGCATCTGAATGAGTATATGAATAGGAAGGGTTTCAAGGGATATGGGCCAAATGAAGGCAAAAGGGACTAGATTTATTTAGGATATCTGGTCGGCATGGACAATTTGGACCAAAGGATCTGTTTCTATGCTGTATATCTCTATGACTTCAAATGAGCCACTGACTATGGTCCCATAAAGATGATTCCTCAGATAAAAAGTACCTTTATAACAACAAGCATTGACTCTTCTGAAGTATTAGCAGTAGTCTGCGAAACTGCAGAAATGTTCTAAATGAAATTTCCTGCTTGGAGCTGATGGTGATTTTGTGTTATTAGAACAAAATCAACTGTAAGATAGGTTTCTTTGTTTAAATCCTAATTGTTCAGTCAGTTTTATTTAGAAATGTGCAAAGCTCAGAAACAGTAATATTTCGTAACTGCATTTTAAAAATGTTTTGATCTTCTGAGAAAGATTGCAAGGGTCACAACATATGAGTGTACTCTGATCCTGATGTTTTTCAGCCCAAATTTGGGGACAGAACCAATTTTTGTTATACCTTGGGCTGTAGGGTGGGTGAGGTTGATATGAATTCAATGTTATTGCGTGTTATTTAATATTTTAGGATCATACGGAGAGGAATGTTTCTTCTGTATGATGCTATCACGGCAAATATATGCCACAAATTAAACTTGACCATTATAAGTCCATCAGAGTTTTGCTGATGTGAATAGGTATGATTTTATGATTTGATTGGTGAACCTGACAACAATATAATGGTGTTATCTTTAAAAAAAATTCAAAACACTCTGTATGAAAGTTGTTTCTACTATAAGTTCCTGTGCACATATTTTAACGGAATCCACTTGTTCCTTCCCTTCAGAAGTGATGCCCCATTGCCTTTATTGTTAAAGGTATTCTATAATTAAAACATGACAAGCTTATGTCAGTAGTTTCCATTCAAAAGAGTGAATGAAGGTAAAAAAACACACATATATAGTTTTCAATGGATTGAGGACATGTAAATAACAATCACTATTATCAGTGTACAAAAATAGAAGAAGGTTTATAAATAGAATTATTAAGTTCACCCATGATGACTTGATTCTCTTTTCGTTTATGTGCACAAATTTTGGGGTGTGGAACAACTTTTGCTGCATAGCCAGATAATATGTGTATGGTACAGGAATATTGGGAAGTTGTTAGAATTGACTGGCGTTTATATTTTCTGTTTTATTTACAGTTTACTCGCTGTTCTACAAACTGGTACACCTTGAGTAATGTTGACTAGCTAAACTGATTTCTTTATTTCTAGGTGGTACAGCTGCATGTTGGGAAAGAAATGTAGCTTGGCTCCTTTAAAAGAAGAACTTCGACACCAACAGGTAAGAGTTGAGATTTGCAGCGGAAGAAAAAGAAAACAAGAAATCGGGCTATACTTTCTAAAAGAATACCACTTGCCATTCTGTCCAGTAATTTGAATTATATTTTTAAAATGTCTGTGGCATTGGAAAGTTTGGTAAATCTAGAACACAAATTTTGATATTTAGGATGATTTGAGCATTTTAAGCATTTGTTAGGTTATCATTCATGATGTGTTGTGGAGTTCTGAATTCCTAAAACAGTTTGCTTAAATGGACAAAGCTTGCATGACCAAGTTGTATTTGGTTTGAGCAGGATGGAGTTGACCGCTCATTGACAGCTTTTATTGAGGTCTTATTACTAGCACACTGACTGTTACGTTTCCCCCACATGATAAACTTCATATATCATTTGGGTGATCAGAAGGAAGCACGGAGTGAAATCAAGACACTTTGCAAAATGGAAAGCCCATTAGCATCACTCTAACTGTTGTCAGTTTGTAGAAGAACCTGATTTCTCAATTAAATCAGGGTTAGATAGAGGATAAATCATTTTTAAAAAGGAACAATTTTTTAAAAAGTAGCATTTCTATTGTTTTAAAAGATAGCCATCCTTTTTTTAGCCTTTCTACAGAAATATAAACAAAATTACTAATTTTTAAACCAGGATTTAATTGTGAATAATTTGAATTGACAAATTGATGACGTTGTTTCCTTTGAATTATATGCTCCTTTTTATGCAGGTGAATGTAATTCTTTAAAAAAAACTAAATGTTGATTATCTTGAACTAAATAACACATTACTTTGGAAATAGTTTGCATTTTCTTACTACATCTGTCATTGATTGACATAACAAAAATTGACAGCCCTAGGCTGAATGCATCAATTAATGTGCAATCAGTCAAGCTTTTGCTTTGTGTCTAAGCACCTGCTGTATGTCATCCAGGTCCCGAAAGTCACCCACACTGAATTCTGTCAAGGACGAACCATGAGGTGGGCTTTGGCATGGAGTTTTTATGAGGATGTAATTATGCCAGTAAGTATTGCTTTCAGAGAGACTTAATCAGCCCTTGCTCTTCAATTACAATTTAATATACAATGCAAGATGACAACTTAGATTAAAATATTTCAATGATCATACTTAATTTGTTTTGTGGAATTTAAATATGTACAGTGCAAAATAGAATATTGTATTACCATGCTCTTCTAAACTCCAGCTTTACTGAGGATGCTGACCTGTAAAATTAATGCATATTTAAACATTAAAATGTTTATACAATGTAATGACCATGTTGTGGCTGAACTTTGTGTGTACCAAATGAGTTCTGGACTGGTTATGGATTGAGATTATCCTGTCTGGTTTTCTGAATGTGTATTTGAGTTTAGTTTGGGATTGAGGTTATTCATTTTGTTCAGCCAAATGAATCCTAATGGAATTTGTGGTCAGAGACTGAATATTGTTCCATTATCGAATCCATCTAGATTACAATATCTAGGACTAAATGGATGTGAGATAATAATTATTCAGCATCAAAATTTATGTTTATAAAGGATTACAGAAATGTTTTTTAAGATGATTGTATAATTTCTCATCTAGATCTTTTAATGTAATCAACAGGGAAATTTTGCTTTCACACTTTATTTAAACTGTATATTTTACCATTTTATGCAGCAAGCAAATAGGCTATGCAAGGCATTCTTAATACAATGATTACAGGTGCTATGTAAGTGCCAGTAATGTAGAAAAATGTGTTTCACAGATCTACAAAGACCAAGTATTCATTTCTTACTTATTTGCTCCCTGGATGTGGGAAGGATGAAAATAGATTTGAATCCCAGCCTCTGCTAACATACTTGGCGAATATTTAGAACAATAATGGGTTGATAATCTCATCTAACTTTAAAAACATGGTAAAGTTGAACTATTGGATCAGAGTCAGCAACTGTACGTATACCAATACACGACTTAACCAACAAGAACAATGGGCCAGCTTTTCCATGGAGTGGTAGTCTCATTTTTTTTACAAAAGGAGGATGCTCCACATTTGTAGGCGTAGATTCAGATCAAGGCTTCTTCAGAAGCTGAGCCACGCTTGCATTCTGACAGTTTTTTCATAGTGCAGAACTGTCATAGAATCATACAGTATCGAGTCTGCATAGCCAGAAGTACACCACTACCTCCACGAGGCCTACAGACTTGAATGTTATTCACTTAACATTCCCCCTCCCCTACGCATTTTTTAAAGTTGTGAGGTTACCCCCCTCAACTATCCTCTAGGCAATACATTCCAAACCCCCACTACCTTCTGGGTGAACGACTTTCTCCTCAAACCCCTCTCAAAACCGCCTGTGTGTGACTTCAAAATTATGTCCCCTTGTTATTGACTTTTTAACTAAGGGAAACGGCTCCTTTCTAATCAGCTTGTCCATGCCTGTCATAATCTTACACACTTCTTTCAGGGCTCCCCTCAACTTTCTCTGCTTCAAAGAAAATAAGCCGAGCTTATCCAGCCTGTCTTATAGCTGAAATGCTTCATCCTGTATAAGATCTGACGAATGTCCCTGCACCCTCTCCAGTGCAGTCACATCCTTCCTATAGTGCGGAGACCAGAACTGTACATAGCACTCCAGCTGTGGCCTGACCAAAGTTCTGTACATCTCCAACATAACCTCTCTATTCTTGTAATCCATGTCTCAACTAATAAAGGCATGCATCCCTATGCTTTTTTAACTCCCTTATTAACCTGCCCTGCCATCTTCAGGGATCAATGGACAAGGACCTGAAGGGTCCTCTGTGCTTCCTAATGACCATTGAGATCTCTCTTGTGTTTTGCCTTCTTCCAAAGTGTATCTTCCCCCATTTATCAGGATGAGTTTACACTTACAACAGGTGAAAGCAAAACACACTGCCATTCACGGCAGTCAGCTGCCGTTTTCTGACACTAAAGATCTAGACAGCCACTCTGCCAGTTGTTGTCAAATGCTAAGTGCATAAGGTAAGATAAATGTGATGTTAGGATGCCAACTGGGTAAGGACTAGAGGTCCAGAGGGTTGGGTGCCAAGGGGGAAGGCTGCCAACTAAGATGGGGGTATAGTGCCAGATGGGTAGGTGGCAAGGATCACTTTATGGTAGGTAGGGCTGAGTGACAGTATTCAGGTTTGGCAGGGAGGTTGGTTGCTGGGTCCACTTTGAGGGATGGTTGGGCACAGAGTGGGGGGGGGGGGGGGGGGTGCTCAACAGCAGGGCTGGGGAGGAAAGCAATGTAGGAGAAGCGGTTTAGGTGCAGAGCCGGGTATGGTGGGGAGCATTTTCAGAAGCTTATTCAGAGTGTGGATGAAGAGGGTGTCAGGTTTGGCAATAGGGGAAGAGAGTCAAGATATAAAGCAGGGGGCAAGGGTGACATGGGCTGGACAGGCAGAAAGAGTGGTCAAGTGCAGAGTGGGGAAAGGAGAAGTCGGGTTCCCAGGGTAATAGGACAGTCTGGGGGTGTAAGTCATCTACTGAAAGTGTAGTTTGAGGTGTATGAGTACACAAAAGTAGCCAGAGAGACAATTAATTGGTGGTGGTTTAACCTGAGGGTCACCATGCCTAAGGCGAGGGCAGGGGTTGAGAAGGAGAAACCTTCATGGTAACCTCAGCCAGTGCGGGAATTGAACCCACATGTCGGCGTTACTCTGCATCGCAAACCAACTTTCCAGCCATCTGATGGTTGGGTAGGTACTCAAGTCAGACTATGAATTTAGCAGTCTAACTTTTCCTGAGTAGCTACTTAGTTAATTTTTTGGGGAAATCCAAATTCTCTGATCTATATGGGAGACTTTCAGAGGGTTCTGGGCAGAAGGAAATTGCTTAAAGAAATGATCAGTTTCTTGGACAATTCCTTCGGGGTCTGCTTTGATGAGGATTCTGCAAGGTCCCCATGTGCACCTCCTTGCTGCACTGGAATAACAACCAGAAAATCTCAATCAATAATGCCAATGTCTGTTGAAGCCACACACTCTGCGCTGCCTTTTAAGTTTGAGAGTCAAATTAAGGATTATGCATCCTTGGAAATAAAAGAAAACTATTTTTCTTTTTGATAAGAGAAAAGCAGGACATAGCATATCAGAGGATTGTAGTGATATGGTAACACTTCAGTAATTGATTAGTTTTACCTTAATGCACGTCTTCAGCATTTCTGTTCAATGCATTTAGCCCCTTGAGACCTAAACTTCATTTATATTAAAATACACAAAGATCCTTCTAATGTAAAACAATTTTTTAAAATCCCAAAACATGACAAGACATAAAAAGTTATGACTTGTTTTGTTAACTACATTGAAAAAAGATGACATTTGTTATTGAACTGGTGCCAGTTCATAAAAATGTGAGCAAGGATAGGCCATTCAGCCCTCTAAGCCTGCTGTATCGCAGTAAGATCAAGGCTGATCTTTTATTTCAGCACCAATTTCTTGCACTGTTTCTGTATCATTTGATTTTTTTTCTTAATTTGTAGAAGCTACTCATCCCAGTTTTGAACAAAAACAAATTATTTTGGTGTTCCTATGCTTCCTATGTTTAAAATTAACTGTTAATCTGTCTCTCCCAATACTGCTTACCTTTCTCTTGCCTTCCTAGATGTTAGATGATGAGTGGGGAGGGGAATTTACAATAACTAAAACAATAATGTCTCAAGTGCATATCCAATTTCATAAACAGTTTTCTCCAAAGACGTAAGATAACTTGGATTCATTATCATGCGCGTTTAAATGTAGAAATAAAGAGTAACCACACCTTGCTGCAAAAAATTATTAAAGACCCCTTGCAGTGAGCTTATCATTTTTTTGAAAGACTCTATCTTGGTGTCCAATCAATCACATAATTTCATTATCATGTGAACTTCCTGAGGCTATTGGGAAGAACAAATAGAAAGATTATAAAACACAAAAGATAGTTTGTTTTAATAACCTAGTTATATACTGTGAAAGAATCTCTTAACTTTGTTATTTCTGTCCATTTATAATATTATTTGAATATTAGCACAATTAAAATTGCACTTAAAAAAATTTTGGACGATTAACAGCATGAAATAGAATGTTTAAGTCACATGGATAGCCCTGATTTCAAAGGCTTTTATGTAAACACTAATCTGGTTTGTAAGAGTTTAATGACTGGTTCATTATCAAGTAATGCAGGTGTACGCTTAATCGAGGGGAAGAAAATGGTTTTCTTGTTTAACAGAAAAATTATTGCATGCCGATTAGAATTTTCTTAACATGATTCCTGGCTTCTGTCCCAGAAAGAAATTGAGTATCCTACATGGTAATCTTTGATTCCAATAGCATTTAGTTTTGCTGGAGTTATATCTTTTATTTGATTAATCATTTTTACAATTCTCAACAGTTGCAGGAAAACAAACAAGTCAAATTGTAGCTTGATGTAATAATGTGAGAGAACTGTGGTTGAAATGCTGTCTCTTAACTTACCATGTAACAAGTTATTTAAATAGACATCCTTAAAATTTGAGAAACGGTTTCATTTTGTTATACATTCTAAAAATTTGTATCTTTATTTTTTGGTTCTTTCCTCTTTAAAGTACTAAATCCAAAGCTGAGATATGGTTTCAAAGGTGATAAGGGTCCTCCAGTTAGCTGTTCAAATGTATGCTCCAACGTTATGATCCTAGACTATGAGAAGATTATTCTCCTATGCCAGATAGAATGGGAGCTTCACAACCCCATTTGTTTTGCTGGAGGAAAATAACAAGAATTTTTAGGTTTACCTCAGGACAGTTATAGTTTTGATAGTTAATTATTATCTTGCTTTTTATAGTGTATTCTGTACCCTGATGTAAGATAATGGGAAGTGGTGTTAAATTTCTTAAACACTTTTGTCATGACATGATATTTCTTCCTAGATTTTACTAGAATATTATGGGTTGTACCAGTATTTGTGCTGTTTTTCAGTGAAGCCTCCTGTGATATTTCTCCCTGTTACTGTATTCCCCCTGGGCACAGTATGGGATTCCCAGGCTTGTTAGTGTTTGTGTTACACAGTCTGGAGCTGCAATACCACACCAGATGATCCATGTTAAGTGTTTTGCAAATTAATGAGGCTTTTGATATTCTTGTTCTCACTTCTCAATGTTTAAAGATAATGTACGTTTGTCATTGCTAGGGTCTTATGATTATAGATCCTCTTAATATAGTAGTTTGGGCATGTAATGTTTAAAAATTAGGGACTCCACCTGTTGTCTTGGGACATAAGTCCTTGTTAGTTTGGACTGTGATATCTAAGCAGGAC